CCTGGGCCCCGCTGCGGCCGGTGACCGGCTGGGGACCCTTCTGCCTTGCCCCGGGATGCATGGCACGGGGGGACAGCGGGTGGTGCTGGGGTGGGTTCCAGTCCCAGAGGGGCTGCTCCCTGCACAGCCCGTCTGTGGGCGCTGCCGCATCCCCTGTGCTGTGCCCGGGAGGGACGCTGCTGACACCCGGCCCTGCGGGTGGGCAGAGCCCGGGTGGGGGCTGAAGGTGACAATATGCAAGTCCTTCCTGGAGAGGACGCTGTGACAATGGGCAGGGCTGAGGGTCTGCTGTGGTTTGAAGGCTGGGCAGGTCGGGGTGTGTCCCCCCTGGACCTGGGTGCTGTGCTTCCTGCTCAGGCGGAGCTGCCACGTGTCTCCTGGTGTCCCCGTTCCCAGGGGCCTCAGGAACTGGGCCCGGCTGGCTTGGGTGCTCGGAGGCAGCAAGGGTTGTCCTCACTGCTGGACAGGAGCCTCCAACACAGGACACCCCAGCACAGGTCCCAGTGGCTCGCCCAGGGCCAGGGCACCCTGACTCCTGCCTGGGCAGACCCTGGGGCAGGCAGGGGTGCTGAGCAGGCTGTGAGCGTCTGCTGGGGCTCATTCTGGTTTGGGAATGCAGAATGGGGGGGCTAGGGCTGGGGGAGGGCAGAGCTGAGAGGGCCTCCAGCAGCAAAGGAGCCCCATGGTATGATGGCTTTTTCTGCTGCAGGAGGAGGAATGGTGCCCCTTGCCTGTCCCTCCTGGCTGTGCCTTGCTGCCCCCTGAGCTCACTGCTGCATCAGGCTCCAGCTCTCTGACCTGCTCCTTCCCTCTTTGCCACCAGGTTTTCCTCCCGCCCAGTCTGATGCCCGTCCCGCCTTGCCATGAGTCTATGAGCCCGCTCCGGATCAGCGTGGGTGGCCTGCCTGTCCTCGCGTCCATGACCAAGGGTGCTGACCCCCGCTTCCGACTGCGCTGGAAGGCCATCGTGCTGTCGTCAGCCTGCGTGGGGTTTGTGCTGCTGCTCTTCTGCCTGCACCGGTCCTCCCCTGCACGGCCTGTGCCTCCCCATCCTCGCAACTGGCAGCTCAGCCTGCGGGCCGGGGACCGCTACAATGACACCTACCCGCTGTCCCCACCCCAGAGAAACCCCGAGGGTGTGCGCTACCGCATCGGAGTCATCGCGGACCTGGACACGCAGTCCCGGGACTCTGAGGAGCACACCTGGTTCAGTTACCTGAAGAAGGGCTACCTGGTGCTGTCGGACAGTGGGGACAGCGTGACGGTGGAGTGGGACAAAGATGAGAGTGTGCTGCGGTCGCATCTGGCTGAGAAGGGCAGGGGCATGGAGCTCTCCGAGCTGGTCGTCTTCAACGGGAAGCTGTACGCTGTGGATGACCGAACAGGAGTGGTCTACCAGATTGAGGGCAACAAGGTGGTGCCCTGGGTGATCCTCCCAGACGGGGATGGCACAGTGGGGAAAGGTGAGCTCCCCCCTCCTGTGGACACAGAACAGTGAAGCCTTTGGGTCTTTGCCACTTGCTGGGGTGGGGTGCACCTTTTCTGTGACCCTGTAAGCCCAGCAAGGATGGGAACAATTCTCAGACTGCCTGAGGGAGGCTGTCCCCAGCACCAGACTGTCTAGTGTGGTGTTTGGGGCAGTGGGGGCCAGTCCAGTGTCCGTGTGCTGGCTGAGCCCCAGCTCATGCTGTTCTCTCCTCTGCAGGCTTCAAGGCAGAGTGGCTGGCAGTGAAGGATGAGCGCCTCTACGTGGGGGGACTGGGCAAGGAGTGGACCACAACGACGGGGGAGGTGGTGAACGAGAACCCCGAGTGGGTGAAGGTCATTGGCTACAAGGGTGATGTGGGCCACGAGAACTGGGTGGCGAACTACAATGCGCTGAGGGCGGCAGCAGGGATCAGACCCCCAGGTACTGAGCAAGGCTCCCTCCTGCTAACCCATGTCCCTCAGCCTCTGCAGGCTCTGGGGCTGGGTTCTCCCTCCGCATAGGTACTGGGACCAGTGTGAGATATAAAGGATGCTGGAGGCCAGAGACCTCCCACAGTCCTAATAGAGAGGCCAGAGCTTGCCCTGGCTGTTTTTCTCCCCTCTCTGTGCCTCGAGCATCTGGAGGGTGGCTCAGCCAGCACTGTGCCTGGCAGCCATGCCCCTAAGCAGAGCTGGCCATGCCAGGGTCCCCCTACCGAGCTCTGGAGGGGACTGGGAGGGGCTGCTGCAGGGGCAGTGGGGTAGGAGGAGGTGGAAACTTTTGCAGCAGGGCTGTGACCTCCCCAGCTGCAGTGTGTTTTGGAGTAGGGAGGGGTCCCACCCAGCCCGGTGGGTGCCCTATTTGCCCCGTGCCATCAGCTGCCGCTCCCTGCTGCAGGTTACCTGATCCACGAGTCGGCCTCCTGGAGCGACACGCTGCAGCGCTGGTTCTTCCTGCCGCGCCGCGCCAGCCACGAGCGCTACAACGAGAAGGCAGATGAGCAGCGAGGCACCAACCTGCTGCTGAGCTCCACCCAGGACTTTGGGGACGTGACGGTGGGACGCGTGGGAGACGTGGTCCCCACCCACGGCTTCTCCTCCTTCAAGTTCATCCCAGACACAGATGACCTGTTCATTGTGGGGCTGAAATCGGGAGAGGACAAAAAAAAAACGGAAGAGGACAATGGAAAGGTTGCCAGCTACATCATGGCTTTCACACTGGACGGGCGCTTCCTCCTGCCTGAGACCAGGATTGGGAGCGTAAAATACGAGGGCATTGAGTTTATTTAACCGACTTTTGCACTGGACCGGAGGGCCGAGGGTGGCCAAGGAGTGCTGGGCTCGGGGGGGGACGCTGGGCAGCGCTCCCAGCTCTGTAGTTGGCCTTGGCGTCTGTCTCCTGTAAAAGAGTTGGCTCTGCTGCAGCAGGTGTGGTGCGAGTGTTTCGGCAGTGGCACCTGGTGGCAGGGTACAGCCACCACAGGGTGTTGCGAGCCCCAGCCAGGAGGGGGACGGTGAAGTTGCTGTGTGCCGGTTTCCCGGGCAGGGCCCGCGCTGCAGTCATTAACGCCCAGCCCCTAATTGCGACAGAAACCCTCTGAGTGAGTTGGTGGCTCTGGTGACGTGCATGCTCTGAGTTTACGCTGCCTCACATCCTGTCATGCTTCCTGGGGGGTGGGGGTGTCCATCTGGAGCACCGAGCCCATCCCGGTACATGGGGAGCAGGTCTGACCCGGGCCCTGGAGCCCAGCTGCGCTGGCATCCTGTCCTAGGGCCACCCTGCAGGAGAATCTCTGATCCGTGTTCCCAGCACCTGTCTGAGAATGTACCAGAGACATAGGGACAAGTATCCCTGTGGGGAGGAGCATCTTTGAGGTTGTGATTGCTCTGTTTCTGACCATCCCGGGGTCAGGGTGACTGGGAGGGATGGGACCACAGCAGGGTGTCTCAGCCAGGGAAGGTCAGGGCTGTCTACAGTGTCGTAGCTGTGGGGGATTTCATCAGGCTTTTTTTCCCCAGAGGTTGGTTCTCCTTCCCTTTTCCTGTAAGCTGGGTGAGGTGACAGCTGGGGTAACGGGTGACCTTGGGCACTGTTTTCTGAGAAGGGTCTCACATCAGAAGGGACTGTGGTGGTGTCCTTCTGCTCAGGCCCCGGAGGTGCCGCTAGAGCTGTTGGCTGCAGGAAGAGCTGGGACCTGGACAGAAGCTGCCGGGAGCTGGCAGACAGCGTGGCCATGCCTGCTCTAACAGCTCCATGCTCAGCACAGGAGGGAGACCACCAGCTTGGCTTCCTGGGGCAGGCAGCAGCTGGGAAGCGTTCGCAGCAGCCTGGGCTTGGCTGGCCAGGGAGCCCTTCCCCAGCGTAACAGCAGTGTTGTGAAATCGTGGCTGCAGCCTGTGGCCCACCAGGAGGAACTTGCACAAGTCTCGGGAGCCAAAAGTATGAACCAAGGGCATCTTGAGGCCCCTGGGGCCTCCTCCCCACCCCACTAACCACAAGGACTGCAGCTTCTGGCCTGGTCCATATGCTGCTGGCTCTGCTGAGCCCCCGCCTGATTTGCAGGACAGTAGAACAGCCACCAGCAAGGGTTCAGAATGCTGTGGGTCAGGAAGGCCCCCCTGCCCCATTTACACTGCCCAGCACCTCCATGAGCTGAGTGAGGAGCAGGTTGGAGGCTGGACACTCGTTTTCATTTAGCCCAGACAGTGACTCAGGCGAGGCTGGGAGCGAGTGCACTTGTCTCTGCAGGCAGCTCTGCGGGGCACGGAGCCACCCCCAGCACCACGGGCAGAGCTGGCTGGCTGTGCACGTGGCCACCAGGGCTGTGCAGCACCTGGCCCAGGGCACCCAGGGCACATCCCCAACCTGTGCTGGGAGCCAGCTGGCTGTGGGCCACATCAGTCACTCTGCTGTCACCCGTGCTTCACTTGGCAGAGCCTGTCCTGGCCTCGCTTGCCCTCCTGGCCTGGCTGCAGCACCTGTTTTGGCCCCAGGCTGTGCTGGTGGTTGTCCCTGCCATGTGGGACATGCTTCTTGTCACCTGGGCTCAGCCGGGAGGAGAGCTCTGCACCTCACTGAGAAGTGGGGCCTTCCCATACTGTCTCTCTCTGTCCCCCCAAACCATCCCTCTGGCTGCCTGTGCCCCAGCCCTTTTCCTTAGATCTGGCAGAATCCCATCTGGCCCCTCCTTGTGTAGGATACCAGGGGCCTGGGAGACTGCCAGGGATAGAGGCAGCAGTGTGACGTAGGCAGCAGGACCATCAGCCCCTGCCTTGCCACAAACAGGCCCATGGCTGCAGCACCCCTGGAGACCCAAGACCCTCAGCCCCTCAGTGCCCTCAGAGCAGCACAAGCACCAGGTGCCTCGGCAGCCAGGCTGGCAGGACTGTTGGCAACTGCTGCCGAAGCATCTGCAAACCATGTTCCCTGCAGTGGAGCTGGGGACCTGGATTCCCATCTCCAGGCATCATCAGTCATCTCCTACAGGTTTCCTGCAGGCTCAAGCAAGGCTTGGACCAGATTGTGCTGCCCACGTTTCCGCTGTTTCTTCTCATCCTAAAGGGCACACGGCTCTGCTGCCGCCCCCAGACGTGAGCAGCTGTGCAGGGCAGCGCGGCAGCAGGAGCCCGGCACCGGAGCAGCTTGTGCGCCCGCGGTGCTGCCCGTCACCGCCAACACGTGCCCGCCGCAGCCGGGACCGGAAGCCGTGTCCCTGCCCAGAGGCAGAGCTGGGCTCCCTGCCTGCTTCGCTTGGACGAAGGCACCGCTGGAGGGACGGGTGCAGCCGCCTGAGCACAGGCATACAGGTACGGTGAGCCCGGTAGCATCCTGCCGTGTGGTCACGCCGACACCCGCCACGGGGATGCAGCCAGGACAGGGACAAGGTGTGGGTTTTGGGGACGTGCTCCAGGGCAGATGGCTGCAGGCCAAAGTGAAGGAAGCCCGAGGTCTGTGGGCACGTTGTAGGAGACGTGCCTCAGGTGACGAGGCCATCGGGCACGGGGCAGGGAGCAGAGGAGCAGTAGGATGCTCTGAGCTGCAGGGGTAGGAAATGGTGGGGCACAGATGTAATCTCACCCCTCCCTTTCCTCCCCCCCCGCAATTCC